GCATACGCTCCTCCACCCAGCTATGGCTTCATTTATGGCACATGCCATCCATCATTTGACATGGCACACAACTTTTTTCCGGTGTTAACCTGACATCATTAGGCGACAAATTTACAAGGATGTTGACGTTACATACCAAAAACAACAACAACAAAAATATTTGTATCGTCTGATGATGCAGGTTAACGTTGGCAAAACGTCGGGTGTGTCATCAACTGATGATGTCAGGTTAAAATTGGCGAAAAGTGAGGTGTCGTATGAATGTTTTAACCAACTAATACTACCAATGTCCGTTTGCTTTAACGTCAGGTGGTCAGAGCGCTCGACTCGCAATCTGAGGGTCGCGAGTTCGAATCCCCGTCCCACCAAACATGCTCGCCCTTTCAGCCGTGGGGGCATTACAATGTGAGGGTGAACCCCACTATTCGTTGGTAAAAGAGTAGCCCAAGAGTTGGCGGTGGGTGGTGATGACCAGCTGCCTTCCCTCTAGTCTTACATTGCTAAATTAGGGACGGCTAGCGCAGATAGTCCTCGTGTAGCTTTGCGCGAAGTTCAATACAAACAAACAAACTTCATATTATTTACTTATACAAGTTCCTGCTCTTCACGCTCTGTTTATCTTGCACTCCGTACAATTTTCAAATATCTGTTATTCTTTACACGCCTTGATTACCCGCATTTGTTCGTTTTTCTTGTTCGTAATTTCTCTTGTGTATTTTATAGGTAATACTGGGGTACTATATATATTTCTTACTGCTAGGATCATCAGCAAACTTCGAACTTCTGTTACTATAGCTGATAATGATTAGACCAGTTAAAGAAATATTGAAGTAATAAGACCAGTTACAGAAATATTGAAGTAATAAGACCAGTTAAAGAAATATTGAAGCTTTAACTGGTCTTATTACTTCAATATTTCTTTAACTGGTCTTATTACTTCAATATTTCTTTAACTGGTCTTATTACTTCAATATTTCTGTAACTGGTCGTATTGCTTCAATATTTCTTTAACTGGTCTTATTGAAATATTGAAGCAATACGACCAGTTAAATAAATATTGAAGTAATAAGACCAGTTAAAGATACATTGAGGTAATAAGACCAGTTACAGAAATATTGAAGTAATAAGACCAGTAAAAAGAAATATTGAAGCAATACGACCAGTTAAAGAAATATTGAAGTAATAAGACCAGTTAAAGATATATTGAGGTAATAAGACCAGTTACAGAAATATTGAAGTAATAAGACCAGTTAAAGAAATATTGAAGTAATAGATGTTCCATAAATTAGTGACCAGTCCAGTTGTACTTTCGGACCAGAGGGGGCAGACGTACTAAGCTGTGACTGTCCAGTTGGTGAAATCTGTTTATTGTGTGACTCGTCCCACGATTTAGCCTTCTCGTGTATAACGTAACTTACGACATTTTTCCACATACAAAGATAATGTCTGGTGAAAGACAAAAGCGTAATTCTAAACAAATGAGTGAAAAGCGAACACCATTATGGAAGATGGTGACAGGTTTACAGACCGTCATTTTAATTTACGGAGTTCGTACAATTCTGACGTGTTCGAATAACTTCGGCTTAAAAAAAGACGTTTTGTGATTGGTCGGCTGTCCGTCAATCAGCCAATGAAAAGGAGCCTCAGATATCTATTTCGTGTTAACATCAGTATCAAAGCAGACAAGGCACTTCCGGATCGAGCTTACTTTAGTTCTACATTTTGTCTCTGGCCACAGACCCCCAAACATTTTTCTCACCGGTTTTCAACGTATCGGGTGGATGACAAATTTGACAACAAAAATGGCGGATATTTGTGTTTCTCAACCAATCGCTTAGCTCGAGATTTAAAACATTTTTATGGTAACCTAAGACTATGTTAACGGGTTTTTTTTATTTGATTTTAATCAAAACACAAAGATTATACACGAAACGTTGCGAGTTTAGGTGAAATATAACAAGTTGTTTGTTTCGAAAAGCTACTTGAGATCTTTCAGCGTCATTTAATTATAATTATGGGTTCATGTACTACAGGAAAGGTAGCTATTCCACAGCACCCACCGCCAATTCTTGAACACCTGTATTTGAATAGCGGAATTTAAACATCACTTTTAATATAACGGACCCAAAGTGGAGAGTGGGATTTTTGGGTAACGAACGCGAACCATGGACCTTCGAACACTGTCAGACACGCGAACCATGGACCTTCGAATACTGTCAGACACGCGAACCATGGACCTTCGAACACTGTCAGACACGCGAACCATGGACCTTCGAACACAGTCGGACACGCGAACCATGGACCTTCGAACACTGTCAGACACGCGAACCATGGACCTTCGAACACAGTCAGACACGCGAACCATGGACTTTCGAACACAGTCAGACACGCGAACCATGGACCTTCGAACACTGTCAGACACGCGAACCACGGACCCACGCAAGGTATCAAATATAATTAAGAATATGTTTATTGAATG